CCTTTCTCTCTAGTGGATCCCTATGGGAGCTTGGTAGCTCACTTGCTTGCTTTTTTTTTCTTTCTTTCTTTCTGGAACATACCACCCTCTGTGGCTCTACAGAGCCAGGCAGGAGGAGTTTTTTTGTTATTACTTTTTAGGAGACCGTCAGCTCCCCTAGAGTGGAAATCATGACCTTCAACTGGCTTTGGGATCCTTGGAGTCCCAGCTAAACCAGGACTGGAGGCACCTGGAAGCAAGGACTTGGTGTCCTTGAGGCAGCTCAAACCTTTAGAGCTCAGGGGCCTCCAAACTGAATGCACAAGAGCCCTGAGGGTCCTAAGGAGGTAACCCCAAGGCTGTTAGGTGGGGAAGCCAGGACTTCAATCAGGAATGCCCCTCTTTCATCTGCAATATTTCTTTTGGACAGTCTGGCAATTAAACAACAACTAGTTTTAAAACACCTGTCTTAGATCCTTGATCAGAGTCCCAGCCTGTCCTCCTCCGTCTAGAGATGGGGAAGATGTGCTCCTTCCTCCTAAAAGCCTTCAGCTCAGAGCCAGTCAGTTTCCAATCTACCAGTTGAGTGACATTGGGCAAGCCCCTCCCTGTGCTGGGTCTCATTTTTGAAAAAATAGGGTATGGGGAGGAGTGGGCAGGACCTTGGGTCTTCAGTTTCTTTAAAGTGGAGTGAGTCTAGAAAGAAGACAGGGAAGCCAGGCGCAGTGGCTTACACCTGTAATCCCAGTACTTTGGGAGGCTGAGGCGGGTGGATCACGAGGTCAGAGGTTTGAGACCAGCCTGGCCAAGATGGTGAAACCCCTTTCTCTACTAAAAGTACAAAAATTAGCCAGGCACAGTGGCAGGCACTTGTAATCCCAGCTACTCAGGAGGCTGTGGCAGGAGAATTGCTTGAACCTGGGAGGTGCAGGTTGCAGTGAGCTCAAATCGCTCCACTGCACTCTAGCCTAGGTGACAGAGCAAGACTCTGTCTCAAAAAAAAAAAAAAGAAAAGAAAAGAAAAAAAGAAAGAAGACAGGAAAATCAGACAGACTCTCCCCTTCAGATATACATTCATACATACTTCCTCCCCACCTCTGTATAGGGGAACAGAGGCTAGGCAAGGGGTTATGAAAACAGGAAATGTTAATATAAGTAACAGGTCAGGCCAGGCGCAGTGGTTTACCCCTGTAATCCCAGCACTTTGGGAGGCCAAGGTGGGCAGATCACCTTAGGTCAGGAGTTTGAGACCAGCCTGGCCAACATGGCAACCCCGTCTCTGCTAAAAATACAAAAATTAGCCAGGTGTGGTGGCAGACACCTGTAATCTCAGCTACTCAGGAGGCTGAGGCAGGAGAACTGCTTGAACTCAGGAAGTGGAGGTTGCAGTGAGCTGAGATGAGATAACACCACTGCACTCCAGCCTAGGCGACATTCTGTCTCAAAAAACAAACAAACAAACAAAAAAAACCAGAAACAAAAAATACACACAAAAATACAGGTCATAGGAGAACACTATGCAGCAATGAAAATAAACACTGTATAATCACATGCAATAATATTGATACATCTCACAGACATAATGTTGAATGAAAGAAGTCATCATATACAAACAAGTACCAGAGGATTTTACTTTCTTTCTTTTTCTTTTTTTTTTTTTTTTGAGATGAAGTCTTGCTCTGTTGCCCAGGCTGGAGTGCAATGGCACAATCTTGGCTCACTGCAACCTCCGCCCCCCTGGGTTCAAGCGATTCTCCTGCCTCAGCCTCCTGAGTAGCTGGGATTACAGGCAGGCGCCATCATGCCTGGCTAAGTTTTGTATTTTTAGTAGAAACGGGGTTTCAGCATGTGGCCAGGCTCGTCTCAAACTCCTGTCCTCAGGTGATCTGCCCACCTTGGCCTCCCAAAGTGCTGGGATTACAGGCATGAGCCACCGTGCCTGGCCGGATTCTACTTTCTAGACTCTAGATTCTACAATGAAAACAAGTAAAACTATTCTTCTCTGTTAAAAGTCAGAATAGTGACGCCCTTGGGAAGGTGACAAAAAGGAAGTACAGAGGGATCAGGGCTTCTGCATTGCTGGTCATGTTGTTTCTTGATCTGGGTGCTAGCTCTGTGGATGTAGGCAGGTTTAGAAGTTAGGCAGCATCATCTCCACCGCATTCTATGGGCTTAGGTAGTTACAAAGGTCAACCTAGTTTCAATGGGGAGGAAGCATAGGTAACTCCTCTCAAAAGGAGGTATATCAACATTACCTTGTAAGAATAACTTGTGGGATGGGACATATATTGCTGTGGCCATTTTTACAAAATGTAAGATGCCATATTGCATATTGTTTTCTTCGTTCCCACCCGTGAATATTTGCAATAAATCACCAAATCCTACTACTACTATCTCTTGATAGTACTATTCCCTGTGTCTGTCTTCCATCACTTTTTTTTTTTTTTTTTTTTGAGACAGAGTCTTGCTCTGTTGCCCAGGCTGGAGTGCAGTAGCGCAATCTTGGCTCACTACAAGCTCTGCCTCCTGGGTTCACGCCATTCTCTTGCCTCAGCCTCCAGAGCAGCTGGGACTACAGGCGCCCGCTACCACGCCCAGCTAATTTTTTTGTGTTTTTAGTAGAGATAGGGTTTCACCATGTTAGCCAGGATGGTCTCAATCTCCTGACCTCATGATCTGCCCACTTCGGCCTCCCAAAGTGCTGGGATTACAGGCGTGAGCCACCACACCTGGCCCTTCCAACACCTTTTAAACCACTTTTATTTTATGTCACCATCATACTACCTAGATTGTGGTAAGACAAGTCTTTTTATCTCTGGTGTTACTTCTTTCTAATCTAGTCTCCATACTGAAGCCAGAACAGTTAAACGAACAAACAGCTCACTTAAAGTTTTCCTAAGTATGTTTTCCTAGTTAGAGATCCCACCAGATTGTTTACCAGTGAAACTAACTGATTTGTAGTTTCCTGCTTCCTTCCTGATGCACAGTCCATCACTCCTTACCATGATGGTTACTTTTAATCAAAAGTTATAGTTTGACTACCAGTTCCAAAATGATTCCATTCTTTCCTGGTAATTTATTCATAGGTAGCATGTCATTTACTTACAGAATATTTCAACTAGTACCGTGTTTCTCAAAATACAAGATCTGCAACAAGTTGATGGGTGGGGAGGGCCAGAAGGTCCCACAATTTGTATTCAGATAAAGAACACCATGTGATTCTAAAGTACAGTAAAGTGTCAGAACCACTAAATAAAGTGCCTCTGACTTGCCTGGTTAAAATAATGAGCCAATAGATATTTCCCATTCCTCTGCCTTCTCCAGCTTCTTCCTGATGTGTCTTAAGACAGACAACGGGAGATGCGTAAAGGAGAATATGCTGTGGGACTTGGGACTGAGAAAACTTTTGTCTTCACTCTTAGACCTGTTTCATTTCTTTTTCTTTTTCTTTTTTTTCTTTCTTTTTTTTTTTTTTTAAGACAGAGTTTCACTCTCGTTGCCCAGGCTAAAGTGCAATGGCCTGATCTCGGCTCACCGCAACCTCCACCTCCCGGGTTCAAGTGATTCTCCTGCCTCAGCCTCCCAAGGAGCTGGGATTACAGGCATGCACCACCACACCTGGCTAATTTTTTGTATTTTTAGTAGAGACGGGGTTTCTCCATGTGGGTCAGGCTGGTCTCAAACTCCCAACCTCAGATGATCCACCTGCCTCAGCCTCCCACAGTGCTGGAATTACAAGCATGAGCCACCGTGCCCGGCCATTCTCAGCCCCGTTTCTTCAGCTTGACTTGCTGCCTGCGATAAGCCCAGTGGTTCATTTAGTTGAGCTTGCTCTGCCCTTTTAAAGTCTCAGAGTCTTGAATCACCTTGCTCCTTCAGTCTAGAATGAATCTAGTCTTTCTCTCCCAACTCCACCCCTTCAGGGATCATCCAGTTATTAGAACCCTCCAAAAAATTTTTCTGGAGTTCTTCGGCCCTTTTTGCGATGCCCCCCATAATCCATGCAAGCACTCATTCATAAGCTCAACAAATATCTATTGAGTGCCTGCCGTGGGCCAAGTACTGTTCCAGGACCTAAACACACAACCTAGAACAAATGAAATAAAAATACTTACTCTTGTGAAATTAGTATTCCAGTGGAGAAGGCAGACAAATAGTAAAAAAAAAAAAAAAAAAAAAAAAAAAAAAACACTTAACAAACGACCTATAGGGCATGTTAGACGAGGAAACAAGAGTGAGGTGGGATTCCTATTTAAGTGGAATGGTGGGAGAGCTTCATTGAGAAGACCCGAAAGGATGCGAGAGCGGGCCGTATGGCCACTTAGGTAAGGAGAAGGTCAGCCGGAAGTACCTGGCAGGTTAGAAGAGGAAAGGGTCTGTCAAGATTGGAGCAGGAAAGTCAGGGAAGAGGTGCGGGAGGTTATAGGTGGCTAGATTCCATCAGGCCTTGTAGGCCACTATAAAGACCTGGGTTTTCACTCTGAGTGAAATGGGAAACCATCGCAGGGTTTTAAGCAGAGGAGGGACATAATTTGACGTTGTTAAAACGTCTGTCTGGCTGTGGTGTGGAGAATAGCCAAGAGAAGTAAGGTGTAATCAAGAAGCTATTGCAATAATCCAGGTGAGCCATGAGGGTGGACTGGACCATGGGGGCAGGTGTGGAAGTCATAAGATTAATATGTGTTTAACTCAAGTTGTGGTATTAATTATGATTTGCATTAAATGCATCGCTAATATGCTTCTGCGGTGGATTTTTCCACCTTAGATTTCAGGGAATGGATGTGATGGGAGTGGGTAGGGAAGGTCTGAGGTTACTAAAGACATGGAGCCTCCTGGATCTGCAAACCTCAAATGATTCTAGGCCTCGGAGCCTCTGGCGCAGCAATAATTCTGCAGCCGAGCCCACTAGCCGCTTCCCAGTGACCATGCGCAACAGGCAGGTGGGAGCCTATGGAAAGCGCGGACTTTCGGAAAGCTGCACGAGCGCGTTCGGGGAGTCCGGTTCAGCGCCTCTGCGCAGGCGCAGTGGTCCCCACGGGCTTGCGCGCGCACTCGCTGCGGGACAAGCTTCTGGAAGCTCATTGCGGTGGCGTTGGTGCTGTTTGCGGATGCTGGTGCAGGTACTGGTCGTCCCGGGTCCCGAGTTTCGGGGCCGTGGCCGGGTCGCCTGCTCCGAGGGCGCACCTGGGGCGGGGTGGGGGCCGGGAGCAGCCTGCCAACTGGCTGTGCGCTGCGCTGCTGCTGCTTCTGTGGGAGGTGCGCACTCCGCTGCGGGATGGGGCTGTTGGCTTCCCTCCATCCCTCCCTGCGCCACTTGGGCACTGTTGACATTTTGGGCGGGATAATGCCTTGTTTTGTTTGTGTGGTGTGGCTGTGAGGGGGAGGCTCTCCCGTTATTGCAGGATGTGTAACAGCGTCACTGGTTCTGCCCGTTAGATAACAAGTACCACCTTTCCTCCCAGTCGAGCTAACCAAAAATGTGTCCAGACATTGCCACAGGACCCCTGGGGGGTGAAATCTCTCCTTTTTAACTCCCTCCGGTTGAGATCCTCTGGCTGCGTCACATTTTCACCGGGCCTCCAGTGTAAACTCTGTAGACGGAGCCGAGTGTCTTAGTCACCGCGGAGCCCCAGGTACCCCGCACGGCGCCAGGTACATGGTGGGCGCCTAATATTTGGCAGAGGAATAAATGACGTCATGCGCGCTGTGTGCCGGGCGCTGTACTCGGAAGTGGGTTGTTATTGGTATGGTAGTTGCAATGCGAAGCTGTCACATCCTTCACTTGTCGCATTGTAGTCCCGCTCCGGCTGCATTGTCATTTCCTGGACCCTCTGTGAGCGTGAGGACCCTTTCAGGCCTGTCCACGCCTGGCCCCGCAGCTCATGACCCCTGGTCCTGTTCCAGCTCATTGTAGTTGCTCAGTCACTTGTAGAATGAATGAATGCAGGCAACACAGGGTAGTCTGTGTGCAAAGGAGTGCTTTGGGATCAAGCAGAGCATCACACAAGAAGTGACAGTTGAAAGGAGTCAGGCTTTAAAGAACGAATAAAAGTTTGTTAGGAGAAAGAAAGCAACATTCCGAGGAGAGGGAATAGTCTTGGTGCGAACGCTAGGAGGGTATGTAGAGAGGAAGTGTCTGGGAATGGGGAGATACTAATTTATGGCTGTAGTGTCAATCGGGTAGCTTAGAGCTCAAGTGGTGAGGTCATCAGGCAGTGTCTCTAGATCACAATGCCATGGTCCCTGCATGTGAACTTTATCGAGAGACCGTTTGGGGGCTGGTGAGGGACTGTAAGCTGGGGAGAGATAAGATCGTATTTTGCCTGTTAGAAGCAATTTTTTGGCTACAGTGTGAGACTGGATTGAAGATCCCTGTACTTAGGCAGTTTCAGTAGGATAGGATGGAGAGGTTCTTAGGAAATAAAATCACCAGACCTTGGTTATCGATGATGGGAGAAGTAAGGAGGAAGAGAAATTTGAAAGTCAAATATTAAATTGGGCTTCTGAGTTGAGCAACTGGTGAGAAATGTGTACCCTTTCATTAAGAAAGGGTAGGAGTTGTTAAATAGCTTTTCGACTGGGTCCCCTTTTGAACCTTTTCTGATAACATTTTGTTTAGGAGGAGTATTGAATCTAAAGCAACTGTTTCCTTAACCCTTAAGTCGCTCCTCGGCTTTTGACTATAAAGAAAATTATGACTGGGTGCGGTGGCTCAAGCCTGTAATCCTGACACTTTGGGAGGCCAAGGTGGGTGGGTCACCTGAAGTCAGGAGTTCGAGACTAGCCTGGCCAACATGGCAAAACCCCATCTCTACTAAAAATACAAAAATTAGCTGGGAATGGTGGCACGTGCCTATAGTCCCAGCTTCCTGGGAGGCTGAGGCAGGAGAATTGCTTGAACCCGGCCGGGGCAGAGGTTGCAGTGAGCCGAGATCGTACCACTTCACTCCAGCCTGGGCACCAAGAGCGAAACTCCGTCTCAAAAAAAAAAAGAAAGAAAGAAAATTATCTTTTTAATATAGTAGTTGAGCAGGGCTTTTCTAGGCCTTTGCAGGTATGTGTGTGGATATATTTCTCTGAACCAAACCAAGAACAATGTTTTTAGGACTAACAACAGTTTGTTTTACTTATTTAATGCCTTAATATTTCTTCTTGACAGTTTCTGCAGGACTGTAAACTGGATTCCTGGAACCTTTGATATTCCTGGCTGTATATAGTACCTGTTGGTGGACTGCACTGATACTCAACTAGAGTGTGAAGGGACTGGATTCCTGCCCCTGAGACACAATGCAAGCTGTAGTGCCCTTGAACAAGATGACAGCCATCTCACCAGACCCTCAAACTCTGGCCTCGACTGAACAAAATGAGGTCCCAAGAGTGGTTACTTCTGGGGAGCAAGAAGCTATTTTAAGAGGAAATGCGGCTGACGCAGAGTCTTTCAGACAGAGGTTTAGGTGGTTTTGTTACTCAGAAGTAGCTGGACCCAGGAAAGCTCTGAGTCAACTCTGGGAGCTCTGCATCCAGTGGCTGAGACCAGACATTCACACGAAAGAACAGATTTTAGAGCTTTTGGTATTTGAGCAGTTCCTGACCATTTTGCCTGGGGAGATCAGGATTTGGGTAAAGTCACAACATCCTGAGAGTAGTGAGGAGGTGGTGACCCTAATAGAAGACTTGACCCAGATGCTTGAAGAAAAAGGTGAGATTTATAGAGGGAGGGAGGAAGCAGGAGACATTGCCTCAAAGTCCGAAAGTAAATTCCTCGAAAGCAATTTACTGCTAAAGAGGAGTCTGAGGTTTGAAGTTGGGACTGGGTTTGAATCAGCCCTGCCATTTACTGTGTGATTTTGGGCAAGCTGTGTAAACTCTCAGAATGTAAATATTTTTATCCGTTAAAAAGGGGTATCATCTTTCCTGTAGTTTTCTTGTAAAGGTAAGACAAGATAAGATATAATATATGGTGGATGCTCAAGACACAGTAATTTCTTTCCCATCCCCTTCAAGAACACAAGTTATCTGTGAAAGTGTTTGGAGTCACAGGCAAATCAACCAGCTCAGGCCCTAATGTCTAGTTCCACTGTGTGGACTAGCACGTTGCTGGAGCAGGGCTGTCAGTGTCTTTGCTGATGGAAATGTTTCTGCACTGTTTTGCAATTCAAGTTAAGTACATGAAAAGCAGCTAGTGCAAATAAGGAACTGAATTTTTTAAATCAAATTTAAAGTTTAAATAGCCAAATGCGACTAGTAACTATTTTACCGTGCAGTTCCACAGCCTTAGGGCAGGAAAACCTGAATTTTATGTATGTAATTACATATTATAAATATAAATGTATAAACTATAAACTGAATTACATTGATATCATTATAAAATATTGATGTAAAGTCTTCTAGGGTGAATAGTCCTTTCAGGGAATGTGGCTCGCCTTTTTTCTCAAATTTGTAGCTATTCATATTCTCAAATATGATACAAATATTTGTATTTTGCAGTGTAATATGCTACAAATATTTGGAATATTTGCATTCCAAATATATTTGGAATATTTGTAGCGTATTTACCATAGGGCTTCTGATATATATGTATGACAGTTTGTATTCTGGAAGAGTTCTGAGATAGGGAAATAAATAGTATTTACCTCCATACGCTTAATTTGCCGTCACATAGCTAATTAGTGTATCTAAAATTTGGATTTCCTGACTCCTCTGTGATTTGTCACTGCAGTGTCATGCTTCTACAAAATTAGGGCCTCTTTGTGGAGGCCCCTGCAATAAAGAATTCGTTTCGGGCCGGGTATGGTGGCTCACGCTTGTAATCCCAGCACTTTGGGAGGCCTAGGTAGGTGGATCACCCGAGGTCAGGAGTTTGAGACCAGCCGTACCAACATGGAGAAACCCCATCCCTACAAAAATACAAACTCAGCCCAGCATGGTGGTGCACACCTGTAATCCAAGCTACTGTGGAGACTGAGGCAGGAGAATCGCTTGAACCCGGGAGGTGGACGTTGCAGTGAGCCAAGATCGCGCCATTGTACCCCAGCCTGGGCAACAACAGCACAACTCCGTCTCAAAAAAAAAAAAAAAAGAATTGATTTCTAGGATTCTGTAGGGTATAACAGTTTTCTTAAATTCACCCTACTTTTCTCTTTAAGTCATTCTAATTCTTAATTTTTATTGATTGTCTAATTACTAAAGTTGCCTAAAATTATTTTCATAAGAAGGTAGAGTATGATTTCAAAAAATACTTTTTCTTATTTGAAAAAGAGCTGTTGACATCCGAGGGTTTTTATGTATTTATTTTTTACTACTCCTTGCGGAGCAGGGCTCACTCATTGGTAGTATGCCCAGAATGGGCCAATCTGAAGGTACTGGATACATTTAGTTCCTATGAGTTTATTGGACGCCTCTTTTTTGTCGTAAGGAATCTGGTGGAGTCAACTCTTGAGACTAACCTGGTGCTTTCATTCAATTAGCAGGTTGGAGTGACTCTTGAGCAAGGCCTTGTACTAGCACTATGAAGAATACACAATTTTACCTTACTACATATTTTAAATTAGGATACTTCAAAATTCATTGTTGTTCAAATTAAACATTTTTAAACTGAGGGTATATAGAAAGAAGAAAACCAGTTTTCGTGAGCTTAGGATTTGAAAGGATTTTTATATGAGCTAAGAGGAAACGCCTAGGTTTTCATAGGAAACTTTTATCTATGGCTGTTCTCTGTTTTAAAGAGTGGACAACTTTTTGTTTCTTCTGACCTTTTTATCCAGAGAGGCTCAGAGCTCTTAGAACCCTTGTAATTTCCTGGGTGATTAGAGCAGTAAGAGTGTCTTTTGTTAAAATATTTGGCCTTTTGTCCATGGTTCTTGAAACAGCTCCTGAGCTATAAAAGAGAAAGACAGTCTTTTTGTTATTTATAACAAGCCCCTTTTAACCACCCTTGAGTTTATGTTAATGAGATGATTTTTGGAAAGTCCTTAGATAACCCTGGAATTGGGGGAGGGTGCTGGTTGCCAGGGGAACCAACCCTGTGCTTACAGGCTTGGAACTCAGCCCCACCCCCGCAACCTGTCAGAGGGGAGAGGGACTGAAGGTTGAGTTAATCACAGGGCCAGTGATTTAATCAGTCATGCCTGTCTATGAAGCTTCCATAAAAACCAAAAAGACACAGCTCATGAGAGTTTTCCAGATAGCTAACCATGTGGCAGTTCCTGGAGAGCGGGGTAGAGGGCATGGAAGTGCCAAGCATCTTGCCCTGTGCAATGTCATCCATCTGGCTGTTCATCTGTATCCTTTGTAATACCCTTTACAATAAACAAGTAAACATAAGTAAAGTGTTATGTGAGCCACTCTAGCAAGTTATTGGAACCCAGGGAGGGGCTCATGGGATCCCCAATTTGTATCTTGTTGGTCAAAGCCCTGGAGGCTCAGACATGAGACTGGCATCTGAAGTGGAGGTCGGTCTTGTGAGACTGAGGCCTTAACCTTTGGGAGCTAATGCTGTCTCCAGGTAGATAGTATTAGAAATGAATTAGAGGATACCCAGCTGGTGCCTGCTGGGGAATCCAACACAGAATTGCTTGCCGGGTGTGGGGGAAACACCCCCACATATCTGAAGTCTCAGAGTTATTTTGTGTTGTGAGTATAGTAGGAGAAACTGACTTAGTTTTTTTCCTGTGTATCACTTAGAAATATATAGATATATATATAAAGATTTTTAGTCTGAGGAATTTATTTGAAAGACTGGACTGGTTTTCTCCCCTTTCCTAGATCCAGTCTCTCAAGATTCTACTGTTTCCCAAGAGGAGAACTCAAAAGAGGATAAAATGGTCGCTGTTTGTCCCAATACTGAGTCCCGTGTAAGTTTCCTTTCAATGGTTTTTATTCCTAAGTGAATACTTAACTGGGCTCCTACTGAGTGATATTAAGATACAAAATCAGGCCGGGCGCAGTGGCTCAAGCCTGTAATCCCAGCACTTTGGGAGGCCGAGACGGGCGGATCACTAGGTCAGGAGATCGAGACCATCCTGGCTAACACGGTGAAACCCCGTCTCTACTAAAAAAATACAAAAAAAAAAACTAGCCGGGCGAGGTGGCGGGCGCCTGTAGTCCCAGCTACTCAGGAGGCTGAGACAGGAGAATGGCCCGAACCCGGGAGGCGGAGCTTGCAGTGAGCTGAGATCCGGCCACTGCACTCCAGCCTGGGCGACAGAGCGAGACTCCGTCTCAAAAAAGAAAAAAAAAAAAAAAAAAAAAAGATACAAAATCAAAGGCTAGGCACGGTGCTTACACCTGTAATCCCAGTCCGTACTTTGGGAGGCTGAGGCAGGAAGATCGCTTGAGCCCAGGAGTTCAGGGTTGCAGTGAGCTGTGATGACGCCACTGCTGCCTTCCATCCTGGGCAACAGAGCAAGACCCTCTCTCTAACAAAATAAAATGAAATAAATATAGTCTCCCTTTCAAGGAACTGACACCTCATTTTCCGCATGCAGTTTTGTTTCAGTTCACAGAATGCCATGAGTCTGATTCTAATGAGACAAAAAAATTTACTGAAATTCAGCAGTTAACCGCTGTTAAAATTAGTCAGGTGGAAGTAGAAGTTCATTTCCTTCTTTTTCTTTTTTTTTTTTTTTAATTGAGACAGAGTTTCACTCTGTTACCCAGGCTGGAGTGCAGTAGCGGGATCTTGGCTCACTGCAACCTCTGCTGCCCAGGTTCAAGTGATTCTCCTGCGTCAGCCTCCCAGGTAGCTGGGACTACAGGCACGTGCCACCATTCCCCAGCTAATTTTTGTATTTTTAGTAGAGACAGGGTTTCACTATGTTAGCCAGCCTGGTCTCGAACTCCTGACCTCATGATCCACCCACTTCAGCCTCCCAAAGTGCTGGGATTACAGGTGTGAGCCACCGCACCTGGCCTGCCTGCCTTCTTTTTTTTTTTTTTTTTAGGAGATGGGGTCTTGCTTTATCATCCAGGCTGGAGTGGAGTGCAGTGGTGCAAGCATAGCTCACTGCAACCTTGAAGTCCTGGGCTCAAGCTATCCTCCCTCCTCAGCCTCTTGAGTAGCTGGGACAACAGGCGCACATCACTCTGCCCAGCTCATTTTAAAATATTTTTTGTAGAGTTGGGGTCTTGCTGTGTTGCCCAGGCTGGTCTTGAACTCCTGACTTCAAGCAGTCCTCTCCCTTGGCCTCCCACAGCATTGTGATTACAGACATGAGCCCCTGTGCCCAGGCAGAGGTACATGTCCTTAAATCTTAACATGATAAAGAACATCTTTGACCGGGTACAGTGGCTCATGCCTGTAATCACATCGCTTTGGGAGGCCAAGGTGGGAGGATTGCTTGAGCTTGGGAGTTCGAGACCAGCCTGGGCAACACAGCGAGACCCTCGTCTATATAAAAAATTTTAGAAATTAGCTGGGCACAATAACATACCTGTGGTCTCAGCTACCCGGGATCTGAGGTGGCAGGGAAAGACAGTCTTTCACTTGAACCTGGGAGGTTGAGGCTGCAGTGAGCTATGTTTGCGCCACCATACTCCAGCCTGGGTAGCAAAGTGAGACCCTGTCTCACAAAAAGAAAACAACATGAGGAATTTATTCTGGATGATACAGGTGGGCCCTAAATGCCATCTCAAGTGTCCTTGCTAGAGAGGCAGGAGGAGATTGAAAACACAAAGAGAAGGTGATGTGAAGAGTTAGGCAGAGTTTGGGGTGATAGGGCTGCAAGACAGGGAACGGTGGCAGCCACCAGAAGCAGGAAGAGGCAAGGAACAGATTCTCTCCCAGAGCCTCTGAAGGGAGCACAGCCCTGCCAACACCTAGATCTCAGACTTCGGGCCTCCAGAACTGTGAGAGAACAAATTCCTATTTTGAGTCACCAAGGTTATGGTAATTTGTTACAGCTCCCAGAGGAAGGTAATACACGTACCAATAGCCATTTTGCTCTACTGCCTCTCAAAAAGCATGCAGAGAATGCTATAGAAAGTGTATTTGAAAAATTAGCCGGATGTGGTGGTGCATGCCTGCAATCCCAGCTGCTTGAGAGGCTGAGGCATGAGAATCACTTGAACCCGGGAGGCGGAGGTTGCAATGAGCCGAGATCATGCCATTGCACTCCAGCCTGGGCAACAGAGCAAGACTTCGTCTCAAAAAAAAAGAAGGAAAGAGTATTTTAGTGAGTCAGTATTCTTGTTTGTAATTGTGGAGTAATTGCAAGTGTGAGTATGTTGTTGAACATAGATTCTCCGAATATGATAGAAGATAATTGCTGCTTATAATTGGAAGTTAAAATTTGGAATGCAGTTGCAGATATTATGCAATTATTACCTGTAGTAAACTTACATTAATTCTGCAAATTTAGGGTTCAGGAATGTAAATCATGCCCTTCATTTAATATTTTAGTCCTAGAAATCGATGTGTTAGGGTGAACTTGATCAATATTATACATTCCAGAGAATTCTTGTACAGTATTGAACACTAGAGACTGAATGGAAGAGGCAGGGATTGTGTAGTACCTTTGTTCTGAATCACTTATAAAAGTCAGAGAATGAATAGCCGCTCTGTAGCTTACTTTGGAATTCTTAAAAACTTGCATGCTATCAAAACCATTCTTTATATCCTATCCAGGCTGGGCACAGTGGCTCAGGCCTACAATCCCAGTGCTCTGGGAGGTAGAGGACAGAGGATTACTTGAGCCCAAGAGTTCGAGACCAGCCTGGGCAGCATAGTGAGACAATGCCTCTACAAAAAATTTAAAAATAAGCCAGGCATGGTGGCACAGGCCTGCAGTCCCCACTACTATAGGGAGGATCACTTGAGCCCAGGAGGTTGAGCCTGCAGTGAACCATGAAGCACCACTGCACTCTAACATGGGTGACAGAGAAATAATAGCCTGTCTCAAAAACAAAACAAAACAAAACTTAGGTTCTATTTGGGAATAGTCCAATACAAAAGAGCTGTTTGGTGTTCTAGGAATCTATAACATTGAAGGATGTAGCTGTGAACTTTTCAAGAGGAGAGTGGAAGAAGCTGGAGCCTTTTCAAAAGGAGCTATATAAGGAAGTGCTACTGGAAAACTTCAGGAACCTAGAATTTCTGGGTAAAGACACCTTTTCTTCATTACCTAGTGCTTACCCTTGGGTCTCTTTTTGTCCCCTTTTATTGAAAGGTAAGTGCTATGTGAAGTACTTTGTTTTGGCTGGGGACCCAGGGACTGATAGGACTGATCCAAAAAACCAGTTCTGAAAATGTGCTTTTCTGCAGTGTATCTTCTAGAAAAGGTCTTTGCTTCATTGAATTGGAAATGTGAAGCATCATTTTGATTTCATCAGTGGAATACCTTTTCCCATTTTTGTCACAAGTTCCAGTATTTATGTCTGTGTATTTTGGTAGCATTTTTTATCTTCCCTGGAGAACCAGAGGCTATATATGAGTGCTGGGATATCTTTATTCTATGCAAAACAGCAATTTTCTGTTCTTTTCTCTATGAGCAGACTTTCCAGTTTCAAAATTAGAGTTGATTTCCCAGCTGAAGTGGGTTGAATTGCCATGGCTGCTGGAAGAAGTCTCAAAAGGCTCCCGACCAGGTGAGTTGGTGAAAAATGCACAACGAAATGAAAACAGTTGTTTAGCAAGTCTGTTGAGAAGACTCTTTGAAATGTTGGGCTGCCTAGATACTAAAATATGAAGATGATTAGAATAGAGCCCTTGCCTTCCTGAAATGTTCATTTTAATGGGGGAGACTTGGTTTGGGTCCTCTGAATTAGATGCCAGGACATGATTAGCCATGTAAGATGTTTACTGGAGAAAGATTCAGTGAAGGAAAATGAGGAGGGAACTAGAAGAAGCCGGGAGAGCTATCAGAGCATAATGCTGGTCTAACCTGTGAATGAGAACAGGAAGTAGGGCAGATTGGGTAGGAAAAGTCTTAGACTAAAGTGTCGTTCTATCTTTTTTTATTTTTATTTTTATTTTTTGAGTCAGAGTCTTGCACTGTCTCCCGAGCTAGAGTGCTATAGCACTATCTCAACTCACTGCAACCTCCGCCTCCCGGGTTCAAGTGATTCTCCTGCCTCAGCCTCCCGAGTAGCTGGGATTACAGGCGCCCACCAACAAGCCCGGCTAATTTTTTGTATTTTTATTAGAGATGGGATTTCACCATGTTGGCCAGGCTGGTCTCGAACTCCTGACCTCTTGATCCCCTGCCTCGGCCTCCCAAAGTGCTGAGATTACAGGCATGAGCCACCGTGCCCGGCTGAAGTGCAGTTCCAAAAAAGTTTAGGCAAGGCCAAACAGGAGTCCTTACCATAGTTACCTATCAGAGGAGTCCTGTGTTTCAAAGAAATGGGCCTCTGTAAGTATCCCTGTACTCCATCATTGACCGGGAGCCGCTTGTGGGAACTGGTGTGGATGCAGTGTTGAATTCATAGAGCAGCAGTAGAGGTTGTCAGGTAATATCTCCACAGGAGGAGTTGTGAGCGGTGCATATTTATGGACACTAGAGGACATATCGAAACAAGAGTGTTAACACTGTGATGCATACTATATCAAGCACGTGTATAAGGAGCTGTGGGAATATGTAGGAGCAAGGTTTTAATTCGCATTTGAGTTGAATCTTGAAGAATAAGTAGGAATTCACCCAAGTAGGACAGCATGTATAATAATTCAATTTTTGCTAAAGGGAATAACACATGCCTGAATACATAGAATGTATGGATTTTTAATATCTGGAAAACATTCATGTTAGCACTGGTTATCTTTGAAGAATTAGGTTTTGTTTTGTTTTGTTTTCTTGAGATGGAGTCTTGCTCTGTTGTCAGGCTGGAGTGCAGTGGCACAGTCTCGGCTCCCTGCAACCTCCACCTCCCACGTTCAAGTGATTCTTTTGCCTCAGCCTGCCAAGTAGCTGGGACTACAGGCGCGTGCCACCACGCCCAGCTAATTTTTTTGTATTTTTAGTAGAGGCGGGGTTTTACCATGTTGGCCAGGATGGTCTTGATCTCCTGACCTCGTAATCCAACTACTTCGGCTTCCCAGAGTGCTGGGATTACAGGTGTGAGCCACTGTGCCTGGCCAGGATTAGGTTTCTTTATACTTACCTGTATCTTACAATTTAGATACATTATTATTATTATTTTTTTTTTTTGAGACAGAGTTACCCAGGCTGGAGTGCAGTGGTGCAATCTTGACTCACTGCAACCTCTGCCTTCTGAGTTCAAGCAATTCTCCTGCCTTAGCCTCCCAAGTAGCTAGGACTATAGGCACGTGCCACCACGCCCAGCTAATTTTTTTTTGTATTTTTTTTAGTAGAGATGGCATTTCCGCATGGAAAGGAGGTGGATCACTCCTGATCTCAAGTAATCCAACCGCCTTGGCCTCCCTAAGTACTAGGATTACAGGCGGGAGCCACCACGCCTGGCCACGATTTATATACATTAAATTTACGTTAAAAAAAATAAAAATAGGCCAAGCGCAGTGGCTCCTGCCTGTAATCCCAGCACTTTGGGAGGCCAAGGCGGGCGGATCACGAGGTCAGGAGATCAAGACCATCCTGGCTAACATGGTAAAACCCCGTCTCTACTAAAAAAAAAAAAAAAAAAAAAAAATTAGCTGGGCATGGTGGCAGGTGCCTGTAATCCCAGCTACTTGGGAGGCTGAGGCAGGAGAATCGCTTGAACCTGGGAAGCAGAGCTTGCACTGAGCCAAGATCGCGCCACAGCACTCCAGCCTGGGCGACAGAGCGAGACCCCGTCTCAAAAAAAACAAAATGAAAATAAAAATAAGTTATTACATGTATCGATACCTTGGTTTATCTTAAAGAAAGAAGCAATAATCCATCTTGCTGTATTCCATCTTCTCAAACATTTATTGTAGTCAACTTATTGGCTGCTTCCAGTATACAATTGACCCTTGAACAACATGAGGATTAGGGGCACTGACCCCCTCCGCCCGTACAGTTGAAAATCCATGCATAACCGTTAACTCTCCAAAAACTTAACTACTAATAGCCTACTGTTGACCTGAAGCCTTATTGATAAACAGAATTACATATGTTTGTTATATACTATATTCTAGTAAGCCAGAGAAAAATGCTATTAAGGCAAAAAGATAAAATACATTTACAGCACTGTACTGTGTGTACAGATCACTAAATTTATGTTGTCTATCTGAAATGGCAGACAATTATAGCTGCAGACCTCAGTCTATGGTGCATATCAAGCAGTTCAGCTTTTTCTTGAATTATCGTGACTATTCTGTGCTTGTTGGCAGCACTTCCAGTGCTACTAGCAGCACTTTGTATGGGTCCCATGATGTTATTCAAGTTTTACAGTATTGCACTAAAGACAATGAAAAATAGGAGAGAACTGCAAGAGATCCATTTTTACTGTGATAGGCAATTTCCTGGAGACATGAACTGCTTACATGGAGATGATTAGCATGATATGGATTTTTTTTTTTTTTTTTTTTTGGAGACAGAGTCTCACTCTGTCACCCAGGCTGGAGTGCAGTGGTGTGATGTCAGCTCACTGCAGCCTCCACCTCTTGGGTTCCAGCGATTCTCCTGCCTCAGCCTACCAAGTAGCTGTGATTACAGGTATGCACCACCACACCCAGCTAAGTTTTGTATTTTTGGTAGAGACGGAGTTTAACCACGTTGGTCTCAAGCTCCTGACCTCAAGTGATCTGCCTGCCTTGGCTTCCCAAAGTGTTGGAATTACAGGCGTGAGCCACTGCACCTGGCCTACCTGGCATTTTAAGTGGATACTTAAGGCAGACGTTTGAGCTCATTGCAATACCAACAAGAGATGCCTATGAAATTATTACAGCGTATAGTATGTACTATAGTTCGTTTTATGCAGTTGTTATTATTATTATTATTTTGAGACAGGGTCTTGCTCCGTCATCCAGGCTAGGGTGCAGTGGCATGATCACAGCTCACTATAGCCTCTACCTCCTGGGCTCAAGCAATCCTCTCACCTCAGCTTCTTGAGTAGCTGGTACTATAGGCGCATGCCACCATATTCAGCTAACGTTTGTATTTTCTGTACAGAGTTTTGTCATGTTGCTCAGGCTGGTCTCCAACTCCTGAGCTGAAACAAACTGCCTACCTTGGCCTCCCAAAGTGGTGGGGATTATGGGGGTGAGCTACTGTGCCTGGCCCAGTTATTATTTGATACTGTATCTTTACATTTGCTTACATTTCTCTAGACTGTGAATGACACCAAGTATGGCCTGTAAGTGTGTGTGTACGTTTTGATAAATTTTAACTTTATAATTTGTGTACATTTTATAGCAATAAATGACAAAATAGATTAGTATCTATATATCTTAAAAGTTCATGACTTTTTTTTTTTTTTTGACATGTCTAGGCTACACAGTTTGTCTGCAAGTTTTTTCCAATTGTCACAGATCTCCAAAAATTTTTCTAACGTGTTTATTGAAAAAAATCCACAGGCTGGGCATGGTGACTCCCACCTGTAATCTCAACACTTTGGGAGGCCAAAACGGGAAGACCACTTGAAGCCAGGAGTTTGAGACCAGCCTGGGCAGCATAATGAGACCCTGTTTCTACAAAAAATTTAAAAACCAGCCAGGCACAGTGGTGTGCGCCGAGGTAGGAGGATTGCTTGAGCCCAGGAGTTAGAGGTTGCAGTGAGCTACAATCATGCCACTGTACTCCAGCCTGGATGACAGATCAAGACCCCATCTCTTAGAAAAACAAAAATCCACCTGTAAATGGACACTTGCAGTTCAAATTTATGTTGTTCAAGGGTCAACTGTGATTACATATATAAAGGACAATAGTTGTTTTATCACATTTAAGTAGCATTTTGGAGGGGAATTTAAAAAATGGATTCTAAAAGTGTTATGAGTAGTTCTAGCAGCACTGGTGTGAATATATGTTCCTTCCCCAGTTATCTTACATCAAACAAAAAAGCCTCATGTTGATATACAGCTTGTTTTAAAAGTTATTTACGACACATTAGAGAAGAAAGTTTTTGACAGATACAGCAGTCAATGGCCATAATTTATTTAAAAAAAAAAAAAAACAAAAAAACCTCAGCCAGGTGTCGTGGCTCACCTATAATCCCAGCACTTTGGGAGGCCAAGGCAGGTGGATCACCTGAGGTCAGGAGTTCGAGACCAGCTTGGCCAACATGGTAAAACCCCGTCTCTACTAAAAAATGCAAAAATTAGCCAAGTGTGGTGGTGGGCAGCTGTAGTCTCAGCTACTCAGGAGGCTGAGACAGGAGAATTGCTTGAACCCGGGAGGTGGAGGTTGCAGTGAGCAGAGATTGCTGGGGTGACAGAGTAAGACTCCATTTCAAAAAAAAAACCTCATTCAAATCAATAAGGAACTCCTTTCGCTGCCTGACTGCCGCCATCATGGGTCGCATGCATGCTCCCGGGAAGGGCCTGTCCCAGTCGGCTTTGCCCTATCGACGCAGCGTCCCCACTTGGTTGAAGTTGACATCTGACGACATGAAGGAGCAGATTTACAAACTGGCCAAGAAGGGCCTGACTCCTTCACAAATTGGTGTGATCCTGAGAGATTCACATGGTGTTGCACAAGTACGTTTTGTGACAGGCAATAAAATCTTAAGAATTCTTAAGTCTAAGGGACTTGCTCCTGATCTTCCTGAAGATCTCTACCATTTAATTAAGAAAGCAGTTGCTGTTCGAAAGCATCTTGAGAGGAACAGAAAGGATAAGGATGCTAAATTCCGTCTGATTCTGATAGAGAGCCGGATTCACCGTTTGGCTCGATATTATAAGACCAAGCGAGTCCTCCCTCCCAATTGGAAATATGAATCATCTACAGCCTCTGCCCTGGTCGCATAAATTTGTCTGTGTACTCAAGCAATAAAATGATTGTTTAACTAAAAAAAAAAAAAAAAAGAACACTAAGTCTGTTAGGAAAATGGACTAACTTGAATGGATCACCAACAAAATTTAAAATTTAAATAGCTCGTGAACATGAAAAAATTGTTCAAACTCACTGGTTAGCAATACAGTGCACATTTAAAGCAATAATACTATTTATTATGAATTAAATTTGCAAAGATTTAAAGAATATTTGACCAGAGATAGTACTCAGGGGCTTCTGCTCCTCATGTGTCATGTAAAGCAGTATAACCTAGTTTCCACCCTTTGGTTTAGTAATTCTGCCTTCATGACTCTGTTTTTCAGGAAGTATTATTTGATAAAGGTTCAATAAGAGAATGAGACTGGGTATGGTGGCTCACGCCTGTAATCCCAGCACTTTGGGAGGCCATAGTGGGAGAATCACTTGAGGCCAGCTATTCAAGACCAGCCTGATCAGCACAGGGAGACCCCATCTCTACAGATAATTTTTAAAAATTAGCCAGATGTGGTGACACCTGCTTGTGGTTCTACCTACTTGGAAGGCTGAGATGGGAGGATTGCTTGAGCTGGGGAGGTTGAGACTGCAGTGAGCAGTGATCATGCCACTGCACTCCAGCCTAGGCAACAGAGTAAGACCCTGTCTCTAAAAATAAAAAAAAAAAAATTTTTAAAGAAAAATTAGCAGTAAAATGGGAAATAATCATAAATGAAAAGAGTAACAATACAAAGTGAAAAGAATAACAATACAAATTATACAGTTTTTCTGTTTTAAACTATATAGAAACATCGAAGGAAATATACAGAATTGTGTATTAACCATTAGTTAACTTCTAGGTAATACGATTTTGAGTAACTTTGTATTTTATAATTATCTGTTGAAAAAATAGTTTCATAAAAGTGACAGTGTGACCTCATGGCAAAAAGCCAGGATGTAGTTAATTAGTGAATTCAAAAATTCTGAGAATAGCATAATCAGTGAGAGTATGGTATTGGAGAGAGCTCTGGAGATTGTTGCAATTGAACCCTAGGCCCTGTCGAATTTATGTTTGTGAGAGTGAGGGTGCTGTGAGAATGCATTCTAGGTAGTAGGAAGTATGCAGGTCAGAAGAATAGTACTGGAACTGCAACAGTGTAGGAGAGGCTTAAAATGGATGCCTGATTAGTGTATATGTAAGGCTGATAGGGCCAACTTGTAATCTTTGAAAGTCTATATTGGTGGTGCTGCATATGTATGATGTGTTTACTCTTTTCAACAAAGTAGTGTTATTTGTCTGCTTTGTGGAGAGGTGATATGATATAGGGATCAAGAGCGTGGGCTTTGGTTTCAGATTAAGTTAAAAATCTAGCTCTATCACGTATTATACATGTGACCTTGGGCAGACTACTTAATACTCTTATGTTCCCAGTTGTCAACATCCATAAAACCGGAATGGTAATAAAAGCTACTCCGTAGGGTTGTTGTGAAGATTAAGTGCAGTATATTGTACTTACTTTTATTACATCGTGCTTGGTGCAGGACCTGGCATTTGGTAAATATTCGACAAATGTTTGTGGTATCATTGTTGGAAAGAGAAAAATTACGATATAGGGAGAATAGGTTTGAACCTTTTTTTTTTTTTTTTTTTTTTTGAGATGGAGCCTTGCTCTGTTGCCTAGGCTGGAGTACCGTGCCACAATCTTGGCTCCCTGCAACTTCCACCTCCTGGGTTCAAGCGATTCTCTTACCTCAGCCTCCCGAGTAGCTGGGACCACAGGCTCATGCCATCACACCTGGCTAATTTTTTGTATTTTTAGTAGAGATGGGGTTTCACCATGTTAGTCAGGATGGTCTTGATCTCCTGACCTTATTATCTGCCTGCCTCGGCCTCCCAAAGTGCTGAGATTACAGGCGTGAGCCACCACGCCCGTCCTGAACTTCTTATAAAAATTCAAAATGAGGGCAAAAACTTGTATCTAACTGTAAAGCACAAACTTTTCATCTTTCTCAATATTTTTCTTAACCCATATGTTTACATTGTTTTCCTATATTGTCTTTTCCTTGTCTATTTTATAAAGCTCTTTTTGAGAACCATCGAAACTGTATTCCTTGTAGTTACTAATGTATTCTTATTTCAGACCCAAATACAACAGCTTCCTTTCTTGCAAACAGGAAATACTCTATTTCTTATTTCTTTTAGATGAATCGGCTTTAGATAAAATAATAGAAAGATGCCTCAGGGATGATGATTATGGCTTGATGGAAGAATTCCAGCAATACTGTGGCAGCTCAGAGGATGATCACGGTAATCAGGGAAATTCAAAAGGAACAGTCACACAAAACAAAACTCGTGGGAGTGGCAGTAGGGGTGAGGAATTTGACCCAGGTAAAAGCCCCTTTGGACATAATTTCAAAGAAACTTCAGACTTAATTAAACATCTGAAAGTCTACTTGAGGAAGAAATCTCGGAGGTATAATGAAAGCAAGAAACCCTTCAGTTTTCATTCAGACCTCGTTCTGAACCGCAAGGAGAAAACCACTGGAGAAAAGTCACGGAAATCTAATGACGGTGGGAAAGTCTTAAGTCATTCTTCAGCTCTTACTGAACATCAGAAACGTCAGAAGATTCATTTGGGGGATAGGTCCCAAAAATGCAGTAAGTGTGGGATAATCTTTATTAGAAGATCAACTCTTTCTAGGAGAAAAATCCCTATGTGTGAGAAATGTCGGAAAGATTCATGTCAAGAAGCAGCCTTAAATAAAGATGAGGGAAATGAGACTGGAGAAAAAACTCATAAATGTAGTAAGTGTGGAAAAGCCTTTGGCTATAGCGCCTCACTCACCAAACATCGGAGAATTCACACTGGAGAAAAACCCTATATGTGTAATGAATGTGGAAAAGCTTTTAGTGATAGTTCGTCGCTCACGCCACATCATAGAACTCACAGTGGAGAGAAACCCTTCAAATGTGATGATTGTGGGAAAGGTTTCACCCTAAGTGCTCACCTCATTAAACATCAGAGAATTCATACTGGAGAAAAACCTTATAAATGTAAAGACTGTGGGAGACCCTTCAGTGACAGTTCATCTCTTATTCAACATCAGCGAATTCATACCGGAGAAAAACCCTATACATGTAACAATTGTGGAAAATCCTTCAGTCATAGCTCATCCCTTTCCAAACATCAGAGAATTCATACTGGAGAGAAACCCTATAAATGTGGCGAATGTGGAAAAGCCTTTAGACAGAATTCATGCCTTACCCGGCATCAGAGAATTCACACTGGAGAAAAACCGTATTTGTGTAATGATTGCGGAATGACTTTTAGCCATTTTACATCTGTGATCTATCATCAAAGACTTCATTCAGGAGAAAAACCCTACAAATGTAACCAATGTGAGAAAGCCTTCCCAACTCATTCACTGCTTAGTCGTCATCAGAGAATTCATACTGGGGTAAAACCTTATAAATGTAAAGAATGTGGGAAGTCCTTCAGTCAGAGTTCATCTCTTAATGAGCACCACCGAATTCATACAGGAGAGAAACCCTATGAATGTAACTATTGTGGTGCAACCTTTAGTCGAAGCTCAATCCTTGTAGAACACCTGAAAATTCACACCGGAAGGAGAGAATATGAATGTAACGAATGTGAGAAGACATTTAAAAGTAATTCAGGCCTCATTAGACATCGGGGATTTCATGCCGCAGAGTAATCCTGGAACTACATTAAGATGGGGGGAATTGAATTCAAATTGTCAGTTACTGAAACCCTGGGATATAAACTTACAATATTGATCAGTAGCTGCAACTTTCATAAATTGGCAGGAAAAATATTCTTTTGCCCATCCCTCTTCTTTTCAAGGATGGCAACAGCTGGTAAACAGTAATTAGTTGGTAAAGTCACTGGAAAGGGAAGAATGCAAAATGATTCTGAGGCCAAACGAATTGGAAAAACTCTTTTCTTCAGGGGATTTCCCTCTGATTTCTTCCACTACCATGTAGTGTGATGGAAAGAGAACTTGACTGCAGTCAGATAACTCGGATTCTGTCCCAGTTTGCCAACTAACTTGCTGTATACACCTTGGACAAGTCATTTGACCTTTCAGAATTTTATTTTTTTCACCAGCAGAATGAAGGGATGGGACTAATGATTTTTGTCTTTTTTGGTTTTTTAGTTTTTGGTTTTTTTGATATTCCTGATAATCTCTGAAGCTGTGGACATAAGTTTTTTTTTTTTATTATTTGTCATTACTTTCAAGTTTCTCTAGTGAAAAATACCACTATTCAGGATGCTGGACTTCTTTTTTTTTTTTTTTTTTCGGCTTTTCTTTTTTGGGATGGTGTCTCACTATGTTGCCCATGCTGGTCTTGAACTCCTGGGCTCAAGTGATCCTTCCATCTCAGTTTCCTGAGTAGCTGACATTACGGGTACACTCCACCAAGCCTGGTTCCCAGGATGCTGGACTTCTAGCTTAGTGAGAATGCAGTATAGTTGTTGAAAACTTTGTACAGGAATCCCTGAAATGCTGTAACTAGGAATGGGCCAGTGAAACTCAAACAACTTTTCCTTGAGGGAGTATTTTAATTGGCCAAGGGAGCTCTTTTTCTTTTGGCATTGGCCAAGGGGACTGAGAAGCCAGAGAGCTTGCATGGGAGCCATCTCAGCCGTGAGAGTAACAGTCCTAGGAAAATAAATGGGGGCTGAGGCGAAGGAAGTGTGCTGAAAACAGCTGTTCTGGATGGATTTTGGTTTGCAAAAATTCTACTTTAAAACAATGTTGCCTGTAGCAAGTACATTTTTTTGCAACTGGAGTGTAAGCTTTCTGTATGGCAACAGTTAAAAGCTGTTCTAACAATTTGTCCACTTGGGGTGCGTGTGTGTGTGTGTGTGTGTGTGTGTGTGTGTGTGTGTGTGTACATTGTTGCCGCTGTCTAAAATTAGGGCATTTCATACTAAAAACAATGCTTGTCTTAAAAAATTATAAGGGCTAACAACACTGGGCTTATATTTCTGTAAAGCACTCAGCTGGTCCTGGGTAGCAGCTGCCACCTTTTGATGGGGAATCTACTTTCTGACTTAGCTAGTTCTCTCATGTATGTAACCTGACTTTCCCACTGTAGGAATGTTCTGTTATAACCCCTACCATTTTGAGAATAGACACCCTAAAATCTAAAGAGACCCCATTGATAGCAAGTAAAGTTCAGGGAATGAATGTAGAATTGATACAGAAAAAATTTTCAGTTAAGTTTTCTTTCGTGACATTAGACCTCAGAGGAATGGAATATACGGGTATTGGTGGATTATTATTCCTTATAAATTTCATTGGTGGAGTCTGAATAATAATTTCCAACTGAAAAAGGAACTTAAGGCCCTGAATGAGTGAGGTTTTGGCTTCAGGTCATAGGGTTCTGGAGAAACCCCATGGACAATGGTCTAGAAATAAGTTCCTAAAGTTGAAATTGTAGGCAGCTCCTATAGAAAGAGAGCTAAACAAGAAAATTCTTGGTTTATGGAAGTAAAGCGATCCTTAATGCTGATCTTAGACTCAGGAACATTTACTGTGACTAATGTATGTAGGTGTGAAATGCTACCTCTGGGAGAAGGTTTTTTTTGCCTCCCCAACCCCAAGCCTGCAGTTTAAATATTGCCGTGTGATAAATTGGTCTGCATAGTTATTGCTCAGCAGACCAACCAATCACATGCTAGCCACGAAAGGAATGTTTATAATGAGAATCATTCATGATGGTTTTAAGTTTTTTTCTGAAAAGACAAAAAACTTGGTTTAAGTTTTGTTTTCTGAAAAATATAATTTATAGAAAGAGTTGAAGAAACATGCAAAAGACTTCAGAAAAGACTTGTTCCAGGATGATTACTCTTAGACTCCCTAACATTCATAACAATGTTTTATCCCAGTATCCATTGGGAATCTAGAGTATAAACATTTTTTTCAGTGAATTTACTGAGGTACAAATTACATATCATTAAAACCATATCAAGTGTACAATTCAGTGAATTTTAGTAAATTTGCTGAGTTGTGTAACCATTACCATAATCCATTTTTTAGAACATCATCCCAGTAAGATCCCTTATTCCAGTTTACAGTTAATCTCCCTTCCAACTTCTAATCCCAGGCACCCACTACTCAGTCTACTTTGTGTCTCTAGAGTTGTCTTTTTCTGTACATTTTATGTTATATGTGATCTTTCCATATTTTTTTATTAATGTGTTTTAAGTTCATCCATATTGTAAGATACTAGTACTTTATTCCTTTTTATCATAAATAATATTAGATTATGTGGATCCTTTGTACATTCACTAGTTGAAGAACATTTGAGGTTTTTCCAGTTTTTGCCTGTTAGGAATAATGCTGCTTTGAACATTGGTATGCAAGTGTTTTGAACATTAGCGTGCAAGCCTTTGTGTGGACATGTTTTCATTTTTCTTAGGCAGATGCCTGAGGGGAGTTGCTATGTCATATGGTAAATTTTTGTTTAACTTTGTTAGGAAACTGCCAAATTGTTTTCCCAAGTGACCGCATTACTTTACATTCTGACTAGTAACGTGTGAGGGTTCCCATTTCTCTACAATCTTGCCAGTCATTGTCTGTTTTTTAAAAATTACACCCATTCTAGTGTTTGAAATATTCCTTTGTGGTTTTAACTCTGATTTTCCAGATGACGAATAATGTCAAAGCATCTTTTATGTGCTCTTCAGCCATTCATGTATCTTAGTGAAGTGTTTTATTGCCAGATTTTTTGTCCATTTAAAAATGGAGTTGCTGATATTGTGTTGTAATCCTTTTTATTCTGGATATAAGTCCTTTATCCAATATGAACTTTCTAAATACCATGTACTAGCTACAGAGGGCTGCCTCAAACTCTGTTGGATAATAATTTATCAAAGTCTTGATTTCAGTAGCTAAGTCTGTATAATTTCCTGCGGGACATTCACTCTGGCCCATCACCCAAATATTTAAATTCACTTTTGGATTAAGTCACATTATCAAAAGGCTTTAAATATCTTTTGATTCCTTATAGGATTGCTTTTATTAAGAGCACTGTGACACATTTTACTTTAAAATGAAGTCCTTGCTTTAAATAATGTTTCCTCTTAATGAGCTTGTATAAATTTTTTTCATATCACAAGACAAGGCAAGGTTTTTGTCGATAAATTAACTTTATTTATTTTAGAATTACTTTTTAATGTAGTAAAATATACATAGCATAAAATTAACCATTTAAACACTTTTTGGTTATACAACTCAGTAGCATTTAGATAGGTTCACATTTTTTGCAGTCATCACCACTGTCCATCTCCAGAACTTTTTCATCATCCCAAACTGAAACTCTGTACTCCTTAAACAATAATGCCCCATTTTCTCCTCCTCAGGCTCCTGGTAACCACTGTTCTACTTCCTATCTATACAAATTTGTTCTAATTACTTGGCATGAATGGAATCATACAATATTTGCCCTTTTGTGTGTGGCTTATTCCACTTAGCATTATGTTTTCAAGGTTCTGCTGTGTCGTAACACGTATCAGAATTTAATTCCTTTTTAAGGCTGAATAATATTCCATTTAATTCCTTTTTAAGAGTGAATAATATTTCATTGTACTTGTATACCACATTTTGTTTATCCTTTTATCTGCCAGTGGACATTTAAGTTGTTTCCACCGTTTTGGCTATCAAGAATAACATTGCTATAATCAGTGGTGCTTTCTGTTCTCTTAAGTATACACCTAGAAATGGAGTTGCTTTATCTTATGATGATTCTATGTTTAACTTCCTGAGGAAATGAAACTACACTATTCTAAATTCCCACCAGCTATGTGCAAGGGTTTTTTCAATATTCCTGCCCTTGCTAACACTTATTTTCTATTTCTTTTTTATAACAAACATCCTAATGGGTTTGAAGTGGTATCTTATTCTGGTTTTGTTTTGCATTTCCCTAGTGATTAGTGATGTTGACTGTCTTTTTATGTGCTTATTGACCATTTGTATCTCTTTGGAGAAATGTTGATTGAAGTTCTTTGCCCATTTTTTAATTGGTTTTGTTGCCATTGTTGTTTAGGTGTAGAAGTTCTTTGTATATCCAGAATATATAAAGAACTTTTCAGGTAAATGATTTGCAAATACTTTCTTCCATTCTGTGTGAGTTGCCTTTTCATTCTATTCTTAATGCCCTTTGAAAAAAGGTTTTAATTTTGGTGAAGTTCGATTTTTCTATTTTTTCTTTCGTTCCCTGTGCTTTCGTTGTCATGCCTGAGAAACCATTGCCAAATCCAATGTCATGAAGCTTTTCTCCTGTTCTAGGAGTTTTGTAGTTTCAGGTCTTATGTTTAAGTCTTTTAACCATTTTGATTTTTATGTATGGTGAAGGGCCCATCTTCATTCTTTTGCATGCGAATATCCAGTTTTCCCAGCCCCATCTGTTGAAGAGACTATCCTTTCCGTATCATGCATTCTTTGCACTCTCGTCAAAGATCATTTGACCATATACATGCATGTTTATTTCTGACTGTCTACTCTGTTCCTTTGGTCTGTATGTTTGTCTTTATGCCAGTACCACGCTATTTTGATTACTCCAGTAATGTTTTGTAATCAGGATTACACTGTTTTCCTGTAGTATGTTTTTGAAATGAGGAAGTGTGAGGCCTCCAGCTTTGTTCTTTCCCAGATTGTTTTGGCTATTCAGGGGTCCTTAAGATTTCAAATGAATTTTAGGATGGTTGGTTGGTTTCTGTGGAAAACGGCATGGAGATTGGGCTTGCATTGAATTTGTAGATCTGTTGGGTAATGTGGACATATTAATATGAAACATTACAGTCTGTAAACCCAAGGTGTCTTTCCATGTATTTGTGCCATCTTTAATTTTTTCAGCAATGTGTTATAGTTGTCATTGTACAAGACTTTTGCCTCCTTGGTCAAGTTTATTCTTGAGTATTTTATTGTTTTTGATGCTGTTGTAAATGGGTCTTTGTTAGTAAAGCATAACTGAGTTTTGAGTGTTGATTTTGTATCTTGCAACTTTGCTGAATTTGTTTATTAGTCATAACAGTTTCTTGTGAAATTTTTGGGATTTTTAAATATAAGATTATGGCATCTGCAAATAGATAATTTTTCCTTCTTCCCAGTTTGAATGGCTTTAACTTGCCAATTGCTCTGGCTAGGACTTCCATTACTGTGTTGAATAGAAGCAGCACTAGCAGGCATCTGTGCCTTTTCCTGAGATGCTTTCAATTTTGTATCATTCCATATGACGTTAGCTGTGGTTTTTTCATATTTGACCTTTATTATGTTAAGGTAATTTCCTTTTATTGATAAATTCTTGTTTGAAGGACAGTTTTGCTGGATATAGAATTCTCAGTTGACAGTTTTGTTTTGTTTTGTTTTTTCTTTCTGCGCTGAGTATAACGACACCACAGCCTTCTAGCTTCCAAGGTTTCTGATGAGCAATCAGCAGTCTCACTGAGGATCCCTTTTATGTGATGATTTGCTTATCTCTTGCCACTTTTGAGATTCTCCTTTTCTCTTTGGATTTCAACAGCTTGATTATAACTTGTCTTGGTGTCTCTGGGGGGTGAGGGTAGGAGTCAGTTGCAGTGCTTGCTGCCATAGTTCAGAACCTGCACCACAAAGACCTTTCCAGTTCTGTAGAGTGGTTTATTGCTTTATTAGTGCAATAGAGAGTCACTGGAGGTTCTCTGTGTGTGTGAGTATATGAATAAATATTTAATTTTGTTTTGCTCTTGTTTTCACCTCAGAATAGTTTTATCAGATGTGGAATTTCTTGATCATTGGGGAGAAATATCTTGCGATTCTGAAAAGCACACCGTCAAAATGCTTTTCATAAAATGTAGCACATATTAGGGTTTCTCCCTTGTGTGGAAATGTTAGTGCCTATAGAGGTCTGAACTGAGAAAACTTCTCTCGAGCCAGAACACATGTGAGGTTCCTCTGCTGAATGAATCCTTTGGTGCTCAGTAAGTTGCGACTTCCAGGCAAAGTGTTTTTCACCCTGAGAAACTGGTGAGATACCTCTCTTGGAGTCTTTTTTATGAAGTCTGATGTAGAGAGGTTCTTCCAGGTTGGAGTTCTTAGGTCTCTCTCCCTTTTAGATTATCAGAGCAGGTCTGATCATCTACAAGCTTTGCTAAACCTACCTGTAGCTTTTCTGGGGGGGTGGTGGCGGTGGTGGTGGTGGTGGCCGCAGTGTTCTGCATTGATTTTCTAAATGTTTGTGGTTCTTTTGTAAAGTGGACCCTTGCCTTCTAAGTTAATGGTGAATGATACATATTCCCTTCATTTTTCTGCTTTGAAGCTTCAGTCTTCTTCATTTTCTCTTCTGATCTGTCAACACAGTCAGAACTTTCACTTAGCTCTTTGAGCATCTTTAAGGCAGTTGGTTTAAAGTCTGTCTAGCAAGTCAATGTTTGGTCTTCCTCGTGTCCATTTTTTGTTGGTTTATTTTGTGCCTTTGAATGGTCCATACTTTCTTGTTTCTTTGTATGCATTGTGATTGTTTTTGTTGACAGCTAGACATTTGAATCTTAAAATGTGGCAGCTCTGGAAATCAGATTATTCCTTTTCCCCCAGGGTTTATTTTTTTTATTTGTGTGTGTGTGTGTATTGTATGTTTTTTGTTTTCATTTTTGTTTTATTGTCATAGACTGTCTCTGCTAGGGATCAGCCTGTGTTGAATGCCTGAAGTTTTCTCAGTTCTTTTCAGAGCCTGTGTTTTCCCCTGGGCAGGGGCAATGGCTTTCTAAATTCTCCTAGATACACAGTTTTTTGAATGTCCAGAAAAACAGGTGTCATCCCTTTTTTCTCCTGGAAGCCACTTTAGCCAGTTGGGGGTTGGGAGAATGGTAGCTTGCTTCTGTGTCTGCTCTTCCTCTGTGATCAGAAGTAGATATCTGCAATCAGAACCCTGATATTTGGAGGAAGTGGCTTTTATTGTCCACCCTGGCGGCAGCAAGCTGAACCAGAAATGTGGGATTGTGTCTCCACAGCTGCCTTCCATGGAGTGGGTAGGGGATGGGTAGCTGCTACTTCACTGAAGGGTGAAATCCACCAATGTTAACTGCAATTTACCAGTCAGGATTTCCCGTAGAAGCTACAAGTGTTCAGATGGACTCAATGTGCTCCCAAAATAATCACTTTAGGAACTTTCTGCCGATGTAATTGTTGTCTAGGTGGAGAGGTGGATTCCTGGGCCACTCTCTCCATGTTTTTGATTTTTCCTACTTTCTTGAAGATTTCTTCAACTTTATCTTCCAGTTCTACTATTAAATGTTGTGAATGTTTTATCTCTGCTGTCATATTTTTATTTCCAAGTGCATTATGTGATTCTCTGTTCCTTTTTTCTAATTGGTTTTGTTTCATAGGTGAAGTATTTTTTCTCTGAGCATGTTAATTATAGTGTGTTTCTGTGTTATTCTGCTCCCTGCATTATCGCTGTTTCCTTTGAGTTGTTTTTACCTGTTTTCTGTCTCTCACATTGGAGGCTTTCCTGAAGCCTCTGGTGATCTTTGACTATTTATATTTAAGAGCAGGGCTCTACAAGCTGATTGGAAAGTGTTTTAGGTACTTCAACACCATCCAGCAGTAATATAATGGGAGCCACATACGTAATTTCAAATTTTGTAGTAGCCACTTTCAGAAAATAAAACAGGTAAAATTAAAAATGTATTTTACTTCACCCAGTATATCCATAATATTATTTCATCATGTAATCAATGTAAAAAATTATTGAGACATATTATTTTTTGCACTATTTTTGAAATCTGGTATGTAATATGTCACAGCACGTCTTAATCTACACACAAAATTTTCATTTGTAATACTTAACTCACATTTAGATTTATAAAACAGAGTTGATAAGTAGATTCACGTAGTTCTTCTAAACATATTTTGTTGTTCTAAATATGCTTAATTCCAATAACTGAATCAAGTATCCAATTTTTTTTTTTTTTCCGAGATGGAGTCTCACTTTGTCGCCCAGGCTGGGGTGCAGTGGCGCGATCTCGGCTCACTGCAACCTCTGCCTCCTGGGTTCCAGCGATTCTCCTGCCTCAGCCTCCCCAGTAGCTGAGATTACAGGTGCATGCTGCCACGCCTGGCTAAGTTTTTTTATTTTAGTAGAGATGAAGTTTCACCATGTTGCCCAGGCTGTTTTCCAACTCCTAAGCTCAGGCAGTCTGCCTGTCTCGGCCTCCCAAGGTGCCGGGATTACAGGTCTGAGCCACTGCACACAGCCCCAATTTTTTTTTTATATTTGCATCCACATTAATAAAACATCTTTTATTAGAAAAATTCATTTAATATCTAGGCAAATGTATATCACTTTCAAAACTGTTTTTAAGCAAATTCAGTATCAATTCAGTTTATTAGCATCAAATTTGATGAGGCATTGTATAAATGGAAACAAAACAGTTTATCAGTACAACATACCGTTCTTCAGATTTTGCTTATTGCAGCTATTTATTTTACATTTAAAATTTTCTGCATATTGACTCATTTGAAAAATATGTGAGTTATTCTGTTTTATTTGTATTATGAAATGTTTCTATTGTAAATAAATTCTTTTACCTGTCTAGCCAGGTCACAAGTTTTTCCAGTTTTAGGAGCTTCAAATTTAGCTTGTTCATATGCAGCGTGATATTAGGGAGAAAATGTGAATCACCGTGTTTTTTGTCTTTGATTGAATATTTGGTAAGCATTTCTTTTGTTTCAAGGAAACCTTGAATTGGATTTTCTAGTACAGGAAATCCTTATAAAATTCTTTTGTAAGTCATCCAAGTAATATTGGTAAGTAAATGAGATCATTGGTTACTTTTTTTTTTCCCCAGAAGTTTCATAAACTGTCAACATTCTATAGCTTTTGTGCGTATGTACTGAAGAATTATAACACCTGTATCCATGACTCGTTTCTTGGAGTCTGCTTCAGAAAACTGAACACAAATATTTTCAATGTGTATCATGCAATAGAATAAAGCAATGAGGGAAAACTTACCCTCTTGCTTTAAAATTCCAACACGGATGGTCTTTTGACTTAACATAGCTGGAGTCCCATCCTCGTGATGGAAACTAACTTTTCTGTCTCTAACTGAAATTCTTTGACAGATGGAAGATTGTCAAAAATATCTGCCATGAGTTTGAGCCTTTAGGCAGTGAATTCACATTTCATTGCCTTTACATGAATCGACATTGTGAATTTGGAGGTTCTTTGAGACAGAATATGCCCAGAGTTTTCTTTGGGCAGGGTCTTATATCAAACAGTTCATCTACGGCTAAAGAAAAATACTTGAAATTTTTCAAATTTTGAATTAATTGGTCTTTATTAAAAATATATTCTATAAGCAAAAATATATTTTGTTCATGTATATCCAAGAGCAAAATTGTTTAATGGTTTCATTGAGATTTTCAATTTTTGTGAATGTCTTTTAAGGTCTTTCCCTCATAATTTTCTAAATACGATAAAGTGATAATTTGTTCATCTCTCCATCTAAGGTTCTTCTTTGTATATGCATGTGTAAGAAGCTATTTTATAGCTTGCCAGGTTTACAAACTCAGATCCTTTTAAAAGCTGTTTAAATTGTTTCATTAGAAATTTAACTCAGTTCATATGACTAATTTTGTGTATTCTTTTTTGACCTAAACTCACCAAATGGTTGCTAAAAATTACATATCTTAAATATTGTCTTAAGTATTATCTACTATATATCTTTAACACTTCTGAATACAACAGACAGCTTTTCCATTTTGCTCTGCTGCAGTAAATTGCAATTGCCATTCATCATTAAATGTGCACTATACTGTCTTCTAGTCGTCTTGACTATGCCAGTTGTAGTACCAGCTTCTGTATCTGCACTGAATTCTGCCTCAGTAATATGCCTTTGTTTAAAATTTAAATATTTTTTCATATTTTTTAACCTAGAAAATAATTATAATGAAAATGTTAAGTATCTCATTTTAGGATTTCGATTTACATAGGTATCACTGTAACTTGTGCTGTTTGCATAGGTATACTCTATCTTGTGCTATCTGCATAAAATATCCAAGTAAACACATTGTGATATTACATGCGTGCATAGAAAAAAAAATCATCTAACTCAATCTATTAATACTGTCTAGATTGGTGACGTGTTTACGTGTAACACTAGTGATAATGCACGTTCCTGTACAAGCATTATAGTACAACAGTGTCCTATGCGATGCAGTGGTTAAAGTGAATTGTAGTTCTATCAAAATAAAGATACATTTAGTGGAAACGTATTTGACTCTGCTTCTGTTTTTAAAATTGTGATGTGGCACTGTGTGCATTTCCATTTCTCACTAGCCTCAAGTGACTACCGTATTGAGTTGCAGTAAGCAGTCCTAGCCTCAGATAACCCAACAAATCGGAGTAGCTTAACTGAATGAAAGTTTATTCCCCAGGGGTCTTTCCAGTGTTTTGTTGCTTTCCCATAGTTTGTAGCCATGGTGTGTGGAGCACATGATTTCCAATGTCCCAGAGGCAGGGAAAGGAAAAACTGGAGCATTGTGCAGTGTTTTTAAGCACTAGCCTAGAAACAGCTGAGAACCATGGGTTTCAAACTAGGTGCCAAGGTTTCCCATGCCACTGTAGAGATCTCACACGGGCTTCCCAAGATATTTTAAAATATTGAGATTATCACAACTACAACTATTGACATCACAAACTACTACTATTAGGTTATTTGGAACTAACTACTGAGCAAATGGAATTGGTAGTTAACGGGTTTGTTTGTTTGTTTGCCTGGGAGCATTGTGGAAAGATGGCCCTGGTACTACGGACGCTGTAACTAAGAAAGTTTGTGAACCTCTGTCTTAGAAGTCACTTCTACTCTTCTGTTGCCCAGAGATCAATCATATAACCCTAACCTAACTTAAAGACAGACTTGAAATACAGCTTTTCCCTCGTTGTGGTGAGCACATAGATTATTTCTACCACAGTCTTTCCTTTTGGTCACCAATCTCTTCCCACACATAATGCATACAGTATCCCCCTTATCCATGGGGGATATGGTCCAAGACCCCGAGTGGATGTCTACAACCTCAGATAGTACCAAACCCTGTATGTAGTATGTTTTGTCAGTCTGATAACTGAGAAGGCTACTAAGTAACTAACAGGCAGGTAGTGTAGATGACATGGATATGCTGGACAAAGGGATAATTTGTGCCCTAGGAGGCATGGAGCAGGATGGCAAGAGGTTTCATCGAGCTACTCAGAATACACAATGTAAAACTTATGAATTGTTTATTTCTGGAATTTTCTATTTAATATTTTGGGGCCAAGATTGATTGAGGGTAACTGAAACCACAGAAAGTGAAACTTTGAATAAGGGGAGACCACTGTATTTTACCCAAGGGAGACAATCTGAAGTCTAATCTGCTCAGGGTTTACAACTAACGTCCAGAGTCTTTGAGTTAGAAACTTTGAGTGTCACGTACTTTTTGCCTTTGGGACCCTAAATGTCAGTGTCTGTTAATTTTTCTTTGAGAAGTGTAATTTCTCCAGAGGCTGCTCTATAATTTCCCCAGAGAAGGATGTCCCAGTCAGCATGGGGGAT